GCTGAAACCGCCAATTTAAAGTACAAAGCAGCCGTTTGTTTGTTAATAAATCAGTGTTAAGAACAATCAAGCTTTTCAAAATTGAATCGTTAACCTACAATCATAATATCCACGCTTCAACTTAAAATCATCAAAGTTCACTAAAACGTTTAACCTTTCATCGATTTTTATCAAAAACTGATTTCAACTGAATTTAAAATAGATTCACTTTTATCTTTTTTCTAAAGTGATTAACCATCCTTTTAACACCACAACAAGCCTTTGCAATAATAATATAAACCCGCCATTTACCATAATAACATCCAAAACATGGGTTTGGTACTTGCTTAAAAAGCAATCATGTTAAAACAAAATATAAAACATTTTTTAATTTTTAAAATTATCTCATCTATTACAGGATGGACCTGGAAAATGGCCAAAATGTCCAAATTTATTACCTCCAATATAATGAAAGAATTCTCAAGAATCAAAGCAACCTCAACAATCTTGGAATGGATTACACCAACATCTTGATCAAAATGAAGGCTACACAAGTATCAATTAAAGGGATCGTTTAAATTGATTAAAAATGAAAAAGATGAACTTGGAAGAAGAAAAGACTATCCAATTTGATCAATCAATCAGTTAACATGTTGAAGATTGATCAATCAAAATGGTTAACTCTTATTTGACGGGAAAAGATTAAGTGTTGAGGCCACACATTTGGACTTCTTGCCAATAGGATATTAAGCAAATCGTCTACAAATGACCTGCCAACTGGTCAACTCTTTTACCTAAACGATACTGTTTATGCAAATTAATTGAATGGAACAAAACACTGGACAGGAAAAAAAGGACCCAACATAAAGCTCTACTATTTACTTTCACTTGATTCACAATCGAAGCGTTAATGGTTCACAAATGAAATGAAATTTTCAGGTAAACAATTACCAGCCAACCATGAAAGTGAATCATTTAATTTGAAAAATTTAGAGTAAAATGGTTCAAGCAAACTTTATTGTCGCAAACAATAAAAAGCAGCATTCAAACCAAAACAAACAAAGCCAATGAATTGAACAGATTAAACAATTGAAGGGAAATGTTGATAATCAAGAGCCTATGAAACAATTGATTATGTGATAATTGACATTAACCCATTAAACAGTGAACATTTGATGACAAAAACAAAGTTAATATCTATTTCAATGTCTTTATCATCCACAACATGGTTGACTTTTAATGAAACCAGAATGTTTACTCTCTATTCATTGACTAAAGCTGGTTTCAGACAAAATTTGCATCATTCTTGACTTATGTTCAGCTGAAGCTTCCAATTTCGCAATTCGAATGTTTTTGTTCTAATTCCAGAAGCAGTTTCGGATCACAATTCAGGACCAATTAAAGCTCTCATCTTACAGCACATTTACTGTATTATTAGCTCTACCAGCGTCCATTTTTTGGTAAACAAATTTGTTGGTTAATTAATCATTGAAGATGAGCTGATGACCTTTCCTCCAAATGATAAACTCTTGACGTGACAATGGTTAAGTTAAAAGTCAGGTCCAAGATAAAAGTGACATTAGATTGAAATCACGTTGGTTAACATTTAACAATGTAACTTGCTTGTAACCAGAAAAATTGATAGCTATTTATAATGAACACACAAACACACAAAAGATGGTTAGTAAAAAAAGGTTGAAAACAAGAGAAAAATTTAACCTTTTTTTACTTCTAATACATTGGGGTTAACATTGAATTAGGTTTGAGTGGGAATCATAATAACCTTGAAATCATGATAAAATAATTATTCAGGAAAAGAAGGGAAACTCTGGCGAAAAAAAAACTGAATAAAATGGCCAGAAATTGAACGGAAAAGCCAGTAAATTGAAACGTTTCATTGAATCTGATCGTGATGCAAATTTATACTCATATTAACGGTAAAGTTAGAAATATTTTAATGTTAATTTATCGGTCAAAAAATGGGAAGAATCAGGTAAAGAGGAGAATATAAAAAAACAGAATAAAACTTGTAATTGTTTCCTTTATTGATGATAAAACTCAATGAAAGTAAGCAGGCAATTCAAGGGCAAAAGTTCATTTAACTCTAAATAAAATCAGGTAAATCACAATCTTGAAACTGAGTTCCGGTAAAACCTGGAATTCAAGTTTACAATTGAACCTGAAAAGACACAAAATGACACAAATTTCACATTCTTATTCACAATTTACAATAAAATTGCCAAATTTTCTCAATCATTTCATCTTCAATGTTAGTGTCTCAAAGACCTTTTCATGAGAATGTTATTCATAAATGAACCAGAATTAGAGATTTTGATTGATTAGATTTGGCTAATTGTTTTCCCATTGAACTTGTTAATAGCCATAAATGGATGAATAAAGTAAAAATGGATGAAAATGGCTTTAATTGTGTCCGGGAAAGGAAAGGTTTGGTGTTGATGAAGATAAAGATGAATGATAATGATGATGATTATCTGATGACCAAAGTAAAAATAAATAAACTTCCCCTTAAGCTGTTAACCTTTAATTTACTCTGATAAGTTCAAGGGTCGAATCAGCATTTTTGATCAATCAAAATGCTTGAAGCACATTTTAATATCAACTTTGCTTCATCTGTAACTAATATCATTTTAGGATAACATTTCAATATTGAAATACAAGTTGAAATGGTGTTAACTTGGTTACCAACTATTGGGACAAAATTAAACCCAAATTCACATGAATATTTGGTTAACTTGCTAAAGGTTTAACCTTTGAATACAATTTGGAGACAATTAAATGTTTACAAACTGATTGAGATTAATAATAACTGAAGGATGATCTGTTTTGATCAAACAAATTGAAGTTAAATTGATTTGCTTTTGTAGCTTCATTCAAACATTTTCAATTTACTCTTTACTGTTGTTAATTGTTGAGACTTGACAGTTGCTACAAGATGGTCAAGTCACGTTATCACGCAACAACCAACACTTGAGGTCAGTTTTTGTTTTTACGCTAAAAATAAAGTTAACCTTTAACTTGGTTCCAACATCAATTATAATTGATTGATCTTTTCAATTTTACATTAAAACTGATTTAATGAAAATTGGTGAAAAGGATTGTTTACCTTTAGATAAAAGGTTTGCCAAAACATAGACATTATTACAGAAATGGGTTTCAATCAAAAAATGGTAAACACAATCAATCACAATGTGATTAATTAGTTTGTAGTTTAATGAGGAATCATCAACAATTAGCTGAATCTATTTAGAGTCAAATGTTACTAGATGAAAGCCTGAGAAACGCAGATCAAGACCTTGCCCATGAAGCCCATTATGAATCTGGTTAAGATGGTGATGAAGACGATGATAAAAACAAACAGGAAGATGATTCTGGTAGATTGTTCATTAGAGTACAAAAGACAAGCCCAAATCTTATTCTTGCAATTGTTCAGTTCTGGAATATAATAGTAGATATAAAATTGGAACTCGCCCGTTTCCTTAATAACTGATGATGATAACCATAATAATAGGTGAAACAAGGTTGAAGCTTTAAACCAGCTTAAAAAAACTCTTTTGTTACCAAATGTAATGAGAACCGGAAAAAACTGAAAGTCACTTTTAGACTTTACCTTTAGTCTTTACCTGACTTTTTTCCATCACTTGCATTTCTAATATTAAAATGAACATTAATTCAATTGTTTCAACACTATGTATCATTAACCCGATTGTTACCCATTTCTTGTTACAATCAACGTTCAACTTGATTTGATGTTAAACTCAAAGACAAATGTCGGAATATCTCAGGTTTGATTTGGTAAATTCAATCAAAAGGTGAATGTAATAATAAAAAAGGTTAACTGTTTGGTTAATGTCATTGAGATTAAATTGAAATGGCTTGTAATCATGAAATTCATGTTTATCAAGGTTAATGTTGTTGATTGGCATAAATGTATTTCTGAACATCAAGACATTGAAGAGGCCTTTTTGGTTTGGAAAATTATTTTCTTGCTCTTTTTTATGTCTTTGATTCAATTGAAATTTCAACATTTTACTCAATCATTTAGATTAATTGTCAATAAAAAAACTGGTAAAAGTTAATAGTCGCTTTAAATTGTTTTCTTGACTCTAGACAATCAGTAAATTTTTACATTCATTTTGGTCGGCAAACTGAGAATGGTTATTGTTGTTGTTGATTACAATTGTTGGCTTGATTCAACTCTATTATGGATCTTTAACCTCGTGTGAATATAGCGATAGCCATGATTAGAATTGAATTTAATAATTGTTTTCAAGTGAAAGCGGAAAGTTGTGAGAGTTTAGGTTTTCTGGTAATAATAGAGACTGGAATAGTCAACATAACTAAATTACAATTTACATTTTATTTGCTCTTCTTAATTTCATATCTCAACAATTGGTTAGGTAAGGTTAAGTATTTAGCCTAACGGGTACACTTCTAGTGCTACAACTGAATTACATTTGATCATTGGCTTGATATGGATTACACGATAAAATAGAAGTGGCTCTAGATTCACTGATTGATATGATTCACGTTAATTGATTGTTGCTCTTTTATTGCATTTCAATGAAATTCCCAGTAATGTATCAACAGTAGCTTTGAGTAGACCTATGCTTGAGATCATTTGTTGCCTTCAAATGTGCAATCCATTCGAGTGAATTTGATGGATTCATTGATTAGATAGTTATGGATTTCATCGAAAGTGAGAATTGGATGAGATTGATTGTTATGTTTAACTTTACTTTCGCAGATTGGCCTAACAAGTGCCATTATTTACGATATTATGAACCCTTGTTGTGTGTTGATTCGTTGAGAATTTTCCTTTTTTCCTTTTTCTACCCAATCTGCAATTGTGAATTCAATTTGATTATTGCTCGTTTTAGACAAAAGTTTCTGAAATTATTGCCAATGAATTGTTCAAAAAAATTTTTATAATCATTATTTCCTTGAACAGTATCGATGGTGAATCTATTAGAATCAAATCTATTTGCATTATTTATCAACGTATTGTTAGATGATAGAAGGAATAATTTTATAAAATCATCCGATTTAGGTTTTTGAGATTATTGAATAGCAACATTTGCTATTAGTTTGATTACCAGATCATTTGTGAATACATTTAGTTTAATAAAAAGTAAGCCTGTTAAAAATTAAAAATGAAACAATTTTTCGTTCTCTGTGTCTTTACCATCTCATTTGCTGCAGCCTTTGACGCTGCAGATCTACTCCAACATGATTCAAGCAGAAAAAGCATTAAACCTGTAGATTGTCCTGAGCTCACTCGACTTCGACAACCATTTGACCTTAAAAAAGTAAGATTTGTTGCAGGCAGTTGTAATGTTATATTTCAATGTGTTTTGCTTTCGTTTTCTTTCAACAGTATCTTGGTGCTTGGTATGAAATAAAGTCAACCAAACCAATTTTTGAGAATGGCCTACGTTGTGTCAAAACTATCTACGGAATGGACAATTTTCAAATCGTTTTTGTTAACAACTCTGCCGTTGATCTTGCTAACAATGCACTTTTCAGTCTCGGAGTTGCTTCTCACCTAGAAAACGCATTGTCCGTCCATACATTTTTTTCAAATGGTCTATCTGGTAAGTTTTATAGCGAATCCTGATCAGTCGATGGTGAATATTGAAAATTTAATCCCTTGTTTCTTAATATCTAGATTCGCCTTATTCACAATATTGGGTTGTCGACACTGATTACGATAATTATGCATTAGTTGTTTCGTGTAATGCTGTCGCTCCTTTATTCACTATCCGTAAGTATTAATGTTTAAATGAACTTTAATTAAACCAAAATTTAACTCTAAATACAAATTTCATGCTTTTTAGGTGATGCTTGGATACTTTCAAGAAAACCAACCTTAGACGACGATATTGTCAAAAACCTGGTTGCTAAATTACCATCGTTCGGTTACGAAGACGTTGAACTCCTTGACACAGCTCAGAATTGTTGATTTAAATCATGGAATAAGCTATTACCGATAAAATTGGAACCAAAACCTCGAAATTATTCTATTTATTGATAAAAATGCTGTATTCTGAACCCTCTAAATCACTATATAAATAAAGGTTACTTAGCTTTATGTTTATATTCATCAACTTATTAATATTTAAAAATACGAATCTAATATTCGGCAAAATAATCGTAAGATTTGAAATTTTATTGACCGCTAAGTATCTATGAAAAACACTTAGATTATGTATGTGTATTTAACATCATTACAATGCTGGAAGGAAAGGGGCGAAGTCAATGGTCTGTCAATGGATTAACATTATAAGTCGGATGCCATTTTCAGGAAAATGTAATTGCTTTACCTTCATGTTACTTTTAAATTCACATGTAATTGAAGTGAAATTATTTTTTGATGTGAATCCTAATGACAAGAAAAGTTATTAATGAATGCATTAAATGTCAATAAGTTTCAATTTTTGAAGTTCAAATGGTGGCTTTTTAATGACCTTTTTGAGCAAGAGTCGATTTCAATCTTTCAACAGGATTCAGATGGTTTAAGCCTTTGATTGAACCAGTCATCCAAGCTAAATAATCAAGAAGTATTTTTTGATGCTCTTCTCAGTTTAGGAAATCAAATGATAAATTTAAGCTTCATTTAGTCCATAATTTTTCACAGAAATGAATTTTAAAAGGAAACTTAAGGTCAAATGTGTTGATCATTTTGATTAGCAAAATGAAAAGCAATAAACAAGCAATCATTAGCTTTGAATAGACATAAGCTAGGAGCTTTCTATGCTAAAGATCATGTTGACTTCAGATTTGCAATTAATTCGAGTGAATAGATTGCCTAGATAATTATGGATTTCATCGCAATTAGGATTTGGATGAGACCAGTTAATATGCTTTGTTTTACTTTCGCAGAAAAATGCCATTATATCACGATATTATCAACACTTATTGTGTGTTAACTCGTTGAAAATTTCCCTTTAGATTTTCCTTTGAATTTTTCCTTCGTGAATTGAATTGCATTATTTGTGGGCCGTTTTGAGCCAAAGCTTTCAAAAAGCAATGTCAATGAATTATTGAGAATTTTTTTCGAATTAGAAAAAGGTTTTGTTAAAATCGCTATAATCATTATTCCCGTGAACAGTATCAATGGGTGAATCTATTAGAATCATATCTTTTCACTTCGCATTGGTAAATGATAAAAGAAATAATTTGATAAAATCTGCAAATTTAGGTATTTAAGATCAGTAACAACGAGATTTGTTATTAGTTGTTGATTTACAGATCACTTGTGAATACAATTTGTACAATAACTAGTTAACTTGTAAACAATTAAAAATGAAACAATTTGTCATTCTCTGTGTCTTTGCCTTCTCATTTGTTCCAGCCTTTGAGGCTGCAGGTCTATTCCAACTTGATTCAATCAAGACAAGCTTTCTACCTGGAAGATGCCCTGAACCCGCTCGACTTCCACAACCATTGGACTTTGCAAGAGTAAGAATTTTTTCATTGAAATCAAACACAGTTGTAATTTCATATTTCAATGAATCTATTGATTTGTTTTCGTTTCTTTTCAACAGTATCTCGGTGAATGGTATGAAATAAAGTCAACCAAACCAATTTTTGAAAATGGTCTCCGTTGTATCAAAGCTAACTACTTCGTAGACACTTATCCCGTCATTTTTGTTAACAACAGTGGCGTTGATCTTGCTAACAATACAATTTTCAGTCTTGGAGCCGCAGCACCAACTCAACAAGACAATGTCCTCGAAGTAAAATTTTTCAAATGTAAGTTTTATACCAAACACTGTTCAGAAAATGGTGAATATTCAAAATCTAATTCCTTGTTTCTTAAAATTTAGACTCGCCTTACGCACAATATTGGGTTGTTGACACTGATTACGATAATTATGCCTTAGTTGTTTCATGTAACAATATCTTTCCCTTCTTCAATCCCCGTAAGTATTCATATTCAACTGAACTTTAATTAAACCAAAATTTAACTTGAAATACAAATCCTATTTTACGCTTTTTAGGTGATGCTTGGATACTTTCAAGGAAACCAACCTTAGACGACGATACTGTCAAAAATCTGGTTGCTAAATTAGACTCGGTTGGAATTAAAGACACTGAATTCCTTGACACAGTCCAGAATTGTTGATTTAAATCATGCAATCAGATATTATCGATGAAATTTCTACCAAACCAAATCCTAACCTCCGAAAATTCCCTTATCAAACCTTAAAATTATTCAATTGATTGATAAAAATGCTGTATTCTGAAACCTCTGAATAGTATTAAAATAACCATTTTCAATGGCATTTTTGAGCAACAGTTAATTTCAATCTTTCAACAGGATTTAGATGATTTAAGCCTTTGATTGAGCCAGTCATTTAATCTAAATAATCATGAAATGAGAAGTATTTTTTGAACCTCTTCTCAGGAAATCAAATGATATTGAAGATAAATTTAAGCTTGATTCAGTCCATAACTTTTCACAGGAATCAATTTCAAGATGCTAATTTAAGGTCAAATGTGTTGATCAGTTTGATTACTTGGAATGCAAAATGAAAAGCAATAAACAAGCAATCAACATTTTTTATTAACAATTTTTATCTTGAACAGATTTCACCGATTAAAATTGTTGCAATCAAATGTTCAAATCTTCCGGTTCTGTTTTTGTTTTTTTACTGGTTGCTTTAGTCTCCTAAACGCACCCAGCGGGTTGTGGCACTTTTTGATAGCCTATTGGGATCACATGAAAGCCCACATGAAACGGAAATCTTGTAATCATCTTTAGCCTTATTTAGATCTTCGAAATGTCCAAACTGCAATTGAGGGAGGAAATAATGATTATAAACATGATGTAATTGACTATTATGTTTGAGAGATTAGATTGAACAGTTGATGACAATTTTAAAGATTGAAACAATTTAGACTAACAAATGAATGAAATTTTATAACCAGAAGACCATTAATGTGGGATGATAAAGGATCAACCATTTTTAAGTTGAACCATTTCTTTGGCAGTCGTTAATGATGATAAATTGTTGAGGTGAAATTGTTAAATATGATTAAGAAAATTATTGCCATTCGGCTTTGTTTGAAGCTTTACCATGAAAGAGTTTGGGAAAGATCTTCAATTGATTTCCAGGATTTATCAGTTTCAACATTTGTCCATCTCGATTGACAATTGAGAGCAATTTTGATTGTAATCAAGTTTTTCCATTTACTTGCTAATAACAGTTTCAATATCCAATGAAATAAATTGGGTTAACCATTTAAATCGATGATAGATTTGGTGGCCTCGATCAATAGCTGGTGATATTTTTAATCAATTTGTCTTTTCCATGACAAAGTGGTTCTATTTTGGGTTCCATTTTAATTAGTCTCTAATTGTTGTTGGATTGATATTTTTTAAATTAAAAGTAAAATCTGGATAATGACTGGTTATTGATTATTTTAAGGAGAAAGGTTTAATGTCCGAATAGTTTCTTTTTTTGCTTGCTTTTTCCTTTGCCATCCATTAATTGACTGAAATTAATTAATGATGATCGTCTCCAGCCAATTCAGCTTTTGCTTGATCAATATAATCAGTATTGAATAGTTTGGTAGGAAAAGTATCACGACACAAATTGTAACCTTGGGTAGTTAACTAACAGTTAATAAACTGATCAAAAGGCCTGAGGTAAAAATGAAAACACCAAACCCATTTTACTCCACTTTTGAGCATCTGGTTAAAAATACACTTTTGAATGGTTCACATTTCTGCCCTTCATCAGCAATTTCATTTCAATTTTGATTCTGTGAATGAATTGGATTTGATAAACACCTAAATCTCCTCACGAATTGGTTTAACTCGATGTAAGATTATTATCGTTGATGGCTACTTCTTGGTAAAGACAAACGGCTGTTTTCCTTCTGAAGATGGCCAAGATTGAAATGATAACAGGAAAGGAATCTATTTTTCTCTCATTCCTCATCTTTAATGCTTCTTTCCTTCAATTGATTTAATCAATTGTTACCAAAAAACATCGTTTATTGTTTTATTTGATGATTAACAAAACAACATCAGCTTCTAAAAGGCTACCAACATCGTGTGACTTTACATCTTTATCACCACACTTGAGTTAATCTTGATCATGTTAACAGCAACAAAACACATTACGGATGACCGGTTCAAGGTTTACTCAATCTTGTGCTATGTTAATCCAAGGATAACCTTGCAGGTCAGTTTGATTGATAACAGAGATTGAAGCAAAACAATGGGAATCCGGTAAAAAAACGATGAAACTCATTAACACCCTGGAAACGGAAACGATTGCCAGATTTGTGTTCTTGTAAGCAGTGAAATCCAATAAAGATAAACATACGTCCATAACAGCCAAGTTAACCTGTTCATCTTATATGTAGTCTCATGGGAAAAGCATCAGGTGGCCATTCATTGATCCAATCAGGTTCATCATCTTTTTTGGTTCACCTGAACCTTCTTGACCTTTTCCAATATTTGTTTCTCGTTCAATATGATGTATCAATTGGTTTAAATCATTGATCGTTGGTAGGCTTTGAAACCATTTGAAGTCGCAATGACAACCACACCATTGGTGGGTGACTTTCTGATTATCCCTGTTGATTGAAACGAATGGTCCATCTTTTTATATCTCTTGGCTGGATAATAGATTCACTTTTTAATGGCAACTGGAAATCTTATTATCTGGTCCAGAATTGTAATTAACTTGCGTTTTCCGAGTTTCTTTTTCGCCATCTACAATTTATTAATATTCATCATGATGGTGATCAAATGGTGAGGATAACAAAGTGAAGATGGTTGGTCCTTTATTCAGCTATAAATTGGTAAACAGTAATTATAATATAAATGAACATTGTGAATCCTAAGTGCTGAAAATAGAGCAAATGGTGTGAATAGTGGTTTGATTAAGTAACACTGTTGAATAACAATTAAAATGATTGAAAGAGAAAAGAAAAAGCTTTAGGCTAACTTTTTAAAGATGAAAAAGATGAAATGTTTCTTTTATATGCATATTCAATGGTAAGATTATTAACATGACTGTGGGTGGTGGGTGGCTGATTCAAACCTACACTAAACTCTTAATTACAAGCGATTCTAATGTTCCATTTTGTTAAAAGAAGCAAATGTTAATGGCTACCGGGAGAAGAATTATTTAAAATATATTGGAGTGAATTTGGTCAACAATTTGATTGTTTTGGTAACAGTGATAGAGATGAAGTAAATCACTATGACCCTCAACTGTAAAACCTAAATTTTATTGTATGAATAGGGAGAGAGAGAGAAGAGGAGAAGGAAAACATTGGACTGGACAGTCAGGTTTCAATTTGAATACTGCTTTAAGCTTCAAATCATTATACATATTCATTTGTTGACCAAATTAACCTCAATCGTGAGGTCATCTAGACATGGTTACATGGTTAAATAAATGTTAACAATCACAATTTAAATATTATTACCGGTATAGAATGACAATTGACTCTTTACCGAAACTTGTATCCATTACAATTGTAATGTAGCTCAGTATAGCAAGCTAAAGATCAATATGATATTTACAATATTTACATTACAGTTTCAATGAATATTATATTGCAATAGGAAAGAAATACTTTTGATTGATAAAATTCCTATTAACAATTCAACCAATTTAATGATCAAACGATGATGATATAAACTAAATAAAATTTATACTTGCCTCGATAGAATGATGAAGCAAGCTTGTTTACACTGTTACAAAAACGGTTATATTGATGAGGCTGAGTTTGTATTTTATAACTTGGATTGAAATTTTGATGAAATTTTGATTTGAAAGTGATAAACTTGAAAGAATGAAAGTTAAGGGTTAAAAGAAATCTTTGAATTTATAATAACAATTAAACTGTAAATCATCAAAAAAGTAAAACAAAAGTACCAGCTAAAGCTTAAGGGCAAGTCAACGTTCTTGATACTCAAAACCGTCTGCCTTTCAGCTTAATTAGAAATACAAATAACTTTCTTCATCATCACAAACTCAGGTATTAATATTAATACATAATGATAGCCAAACTAACAGTGTTTAAGTTTGAAAAAATTATTTACTATTTAAAAATGGTTAAAATTACCATCGAGTTAAGCAAAAACAATTGAATAAATTGAAAAACTTAATGGTTTTACGATTAATCGAAATAAAGGGTTGCAATAGTCTATCGATAAATCGAAATAGCGTTTTTTTGTTATCCAATCAATTGCTTTTGTTTTCAAACGGTTTATTGTTTTCAAAAGTCTATTTTGGTTTCCTTTTATTTTGCTGATTTAAAGTTTGTGTCATCAAATTGTTCAACAGGTCAAGTTCAACGTAATCATCTTCAACTGAAGCTATCATCTCTGTTTGGGTGTTGATTGGTATCCAGTAGAGTTGATTTGATTACCTTTTTAGTGTGGCCTTTTACATACAAATTGTCTACTATTAACGCTTATAAAGGAAAGGCTTTGTGTACAACAATTTTCACCTCAATTTTCTTTTTTTTCTTCCGCTTCTTCAATTTTCTCCTGATTTATGAAGGTCAATTGAACAGTTAACATTCAAGTTTTGGCTTTTTCTTTTTTTCGCTCTGTTGATGAGACATTTCAACGATCTGCTGATAACTCAAGATCAAGGAAAAAACATCGAAGCATGTGTTTCACCAATTGTTTGATCCGTCTTGGAATCAGCTAAAGTTACAATGTTGAACCAAGTTGTGTCTCATAAACTCATTTTTCATTGACAAGTTATAATTTGAAATTCAAACCATCATTTATAATATGTTTAGTAATCAAGTTACCAAATAACCTCGAAAAGGTTGTCTCGAGCTGAAAGCCCGAGGCTAACTGTTTCTATCAATAATTTCATTTTTTGCTTTCTTTTTTTCAGGTCCAGTTGAATGTAATGGGTTACTTGAATATTAATGAAATTGATCTGTCCGTATAATGGTAACTTTTTGCTAAACCTAATTCAATATCAAACGGAAAACCTAAAAACCTGATAGTTAAATGATTTGGCTACACTAATAAATAACCGTGTTACCAATTAATTACATTAGCTGCTTCGGATGGTTAAACGTTTGTAAAATGGTTAAGAATTGTGTGTTAATGAGTGTTTACTTAAACAACCGACATCCATATTATTGCCACATGAATGGTTTTACCTGTTTACTTTGCAATACACATCTTCTTTACCAATCAGAACTCAAATCATGATCAAGGAAATATGCAATTATACCAGATTGGATTAATATGTGATACATTATCCAGTTTTAATCCCTCATCATCTTGTGATGATGAATGTATCTAAACTCTTTAATTTTACATACGCGTATTGAAAAGGCTACTCAAGGATTCAAGTAAATATAATGAAAAAACATCAGGAAGAGGCCGCTTGAAATATGATCTACCAAATATACATGAACATTAAATTACTGATGACCCACCAACTCTTATCTGATGAGATGTTCTTCTGAACACAATTGGAGATGGAAAATGTTTCTAGCTTTGTTTTCAACTTTTTTTTCATCATCAGCCAATACATGAAGTTAACCTGTCGTTTGAATTGGCTAACAATTGATCAGTAATATTGTGATCTTCCCCTCGGAATCCGATTCCATTGGAAAACTTGTTCTTTCAATCAGCCCAGGTAAAGTAGGAAGAATGAAAGGTAAACTAGTGAGTTGCAAAATTTTGATCACAATTGTTGATTCCTGTACTAATAGGAAGTATCTTGAGTGGGAAAAGCATTGTCATCGATAAAAAAAGTGATTGAATAATATTTTTTATTCTCTCTCTCTTTTGTTTAGCCTAAGGTAGTCATTGTTTTATGTGTTTTACTAATGATAATAATGAAAAAAATATCCATTCTACAGGGCAACGATCGTTACAATCAACATCATCACTTGGCGAGAGAAAGTCATTAATATTGCTGATACATTGATCTCACCGTGAATATTAACCCAATCCATGTGAACTGTTGTCATAATTAAGGGAATCAAAAAATCTATCAACTATAATAACAATTCACATACAAGCTGTTGATCAGTTACAAGGAACCATAAAGCTTAATATACATCTAATCGTATATTATTACAATATCAATTGATTGATTTTAAGATCAAGGATATTCTACATTCATCATCACAATCTGTTTATCAAGTTAATGGTCCATCTTGCAAGAGGGTTAGCAAAATGAATGATTGCTTATTGACCAAAGGAAGACCAAGTCAAGTTTCTGGATTTCAAGATTTAAAGTTATGATTAACTTGATTATCTGTATCCAACTTTAATAAGCTTTTGGCAAGTGATCGTTAGCAAATCAGGTTTACTGGACTTGGTTTATCAAGTGTTAACCGTGGTTAATGTTATTTATTTAATGAGATAGTGACAAGGAACCTATTCCAGTACCAAGTATTACCACAAAAAGCAAATGAACAGGGGTTCAATTAATCAAGATATGGCCAGGTTAGAAACACGTTTTGTAAACCTTAATTTAATCATCCTCGTTCTGATTTCTGAGCAACCAAATTAAGCTGGCTAATCAGATTTAACTTCAGTTATGAGACAAAATTTGTTTTTCAAAGATTTATATTTGATTTGTTAACATATCTCTTCATTTACAAATGATCCAAATAATCTTTCAGAATTTTTCAATGAAAGATTTGAAGATCAGATGGTAATAGATTCTTATTCCATGAACACAGCTATTTTACAAATTAACGCGAGATTAATTAACAGTTTTACAGTTTTGGAAAGATATTTAACAATACATTGGCCACGCAAAAAACTGATGAAGATCAAATAGATTGTTGATTTTTTACAATTAGTCTACGAATTGGCAATGTTAATATTGTTAGTGAGCTTCAAATTGGTAAATAAATGTTACTTTTATCGTCATTGCGTGATGTTAAATTTAAATGAGATTAACTTTTACCCCTTTCATGTTGAAATAAAGTGATGAGACACTTGAAATAGTTGAGGAAATTAACTGATGATGAGAGAACTGTAAATTGTGTTTCACGCAATCAAACAAGAATAGGCATGTTGATTAGATCTTATTAACATATTTGTTAATTTTCAGGGAAATGATAAAAATGAAGATCTTAATATCCATACAGATGACCATCAAAGATCAAGTAGTAACCATTGTACAACAATTGAACATTTACATAAATCACGTATCTGAAATGTTTCAAATTATATCAGATTTTGTCTGTTTCTCCAGTTTATATGTTGATTCAAATTAGATACATCTTGATTATTTGATAAGTGAACACGAAACAATTTGTTTCTTTTTGTTAAACTAATTACAGTTTTGATTTCACTTACCATGATGATATTTTTGTCAAGTTGCTGTTGAAAACTGTTGATCAAATTCCCACTGAAACAATTGTTATCCATTTGAACACTTTAAGAAAAGTAAAATGAAATTCCGTATTAACAAGTTCTATTATCTTGTTCTTCCAGATTTACACGATTCACCGATAACTGTTATGGTCATAAATTAATCCAGTTAAATATATCCACAATTTGCACTTTCAACTACCAGATAGATTCACTTTGATCAATTGTAAATGGGAATCAACATTGAAATGTATTGGAATACAGTTGTTTATCCATAGACAAGGAAGGAATCAAATGAATTACAACAATTGAAAATGAACACAAAGACTGTCAAAGGTGGTTAACAATCACTTAATAGTTCAAAAGTAGAGGATTGTTTGATTTGCCTCTTCAAACAACAATCAACAAAAAAAAGACGAAACACTTTTTGTTATTCAGATGTTGGTTGACTGTTGAGTGAACACAAAACGCTGAAACAGTAAACACGTGAAAATGATCGTCATTCAAGTAACGGCAAACAACCTTTACTCTCCAGTCTCATGCCCAACAACTTGTTTCAATCTTCCTCTCTATCTCACTTACTCACTCCATCTCTCTCTTTCTTCTAATATTCATTCTCTTTCTTTTTCATCCTGCACAGGTTTGCCAAGTCCACTAACATGAACATGTTAATGTTGAAAGGATTTCCAAAAATCCTGTTTACGTCTTCTGTTTCCGATGCTTGGCTGGACGTTAACTCAGGCTCTTTCTCATCTTCATCTTTATTATCATCTTCTATTTTTTATTCCTCTTTTCTTTATGCTTTGCTTGTTTTCAAAAATTCACTCTTCATTTTCCCTTTCTTAACTCTTCAAGCTTGACTTTGCCATTTCTGCAAACTTGGACTTTTATCCAAAATTCAACTCTCAGTGGATGGTCACTCAATGGATACAATTTATCGATAAATGTTTTTTTGCTCTTTTCTTTCTGCTTTTCCCGTGGAACTTGTCCAAGTTTTCCATTCACACCAGACCCAAACTTGGCCATAGATCTGCAGACATTCAACAGATAATTTAGAAAGATCCAGAGACAGGGGAAAATTGGACAACTCATCAATGTTGTCAAGATTCAATCAACTTTCCAAATGTTATACTTCATAATTTATCCTTTTTTCAGAGTTTGAAATTTTGGTGAAACAAAGATTACATTAGTTTGAAGATATTAGTACATTCAATAGTTGGTACAGCTATTAGCAACCGGCATTTCTTACCCAATAATCAAGTTATGGTTATTAGGTTAATCTCATCATTCCAATTAAAATGATCTCTAACATCAGTTTCAGTTTAATGCTTGCAAATCACTGATTCAACTTTACTTTTTGAAACCCAAATTGTTGCTATTTTTTGTAGAAATTGAATAATTTATTTGAAACTGTTGGAAAATTCAATTAGATATAACATTTTCTGCATATCCTAAGAAATGCTGAGATTTTATGCACATTTTGCTTCCTGATTCTTGTACCTCTTTGGTATGGACTGCGACAAGCAATTGGCAATTAAAATGTTTGGATTATTCATATTTCAATTCAAATTTTGATATTCGTTAAGTTTCATTCCTTAAAGGAATCGAATAGCACTCATTAGAAATATTCATTTGATTGAGATTTATTCAATAATATGACCGGTCAATCATACTAAATGTAAGGTAAGTCATTAAAACTTGACAATAACTATGCATAAGATTGATAGGTGCGTCCAAAAAATTGAATACAAGACAAATGTTGATTTACAAAGACTTTGAATTAATTATAGAATTATACCTAATTTAAGAGCGTTGTGTGTACCTAACAAGTAAAATGTATTGTTGGCTTGAGCCTGGATCGTTCATTACCTTTAATTTTCCCTTTTATTTCTAGTGCTTTTAGAATTACTATTTTTATACCAACTTTCACAATTTTTACAATTTCGCGAATAAAAATTTCGAGTTAAAATTTATTGTTGGGCTTTTAAAAAACTGTTTTAATAAAATATTGAAACCTATTTAAAATTATCACAAAATTACTGGATTTAATGCATTCTCTAACAAAGTGTAAGTTTGCAAAGTTTTAGATTGTAATAAAAATTCACTGAGCAAAGGTAGCTTTTAAGGCGCCACCAAATAAAAAGGCAAAAATTGAATTTTTAAAATTAAAGCATCAGTGTTGCCCTCTTTTGGGTATTAAAATCACTATCTGATGAGTTTAAAGATCAAAAATTGACACAAATGTCATAAATTATCAAAAATAAGCAAAGGTTGAACCTTTATTTGAAGTTATGGAGTTACCGCAGCTATGGAGGCATTTTAAATTCTTAAACTTTTTGTACAACGAGCTTTGCCTTTTACAACTTTCGGAGCTTTTAATTTTTCTCGCGGTCATTCTCTTTCCATTAATCTGGTTACTCTCCTATGATCTGTGTGATTATCAAATTATTTGCCTCTCAACAATATGGTTTTATTTTACTTAAACTTTACTGAATTCATATGATAACTCAATGATACGAAATGCTATACATGCAAGAGTGTCAATACTTGAATAACAAAAATAATGTTTTCCTTGTTATTATAAAACAAAATTTATTTATTATTTATATAAATCACATTCACTTTGAGGAATAAGAGTCATGATCATAATGACCGTAACCATGTTCATTACCATAACTTTCATGACCATAACCTTCATGACCATAACCTTCATGACCATAGCCTCCATTACCATAGCCTCCATGACCATAGCCTTCGTGACCCTGTTCCTTGAAATTGTGTTCATCGTGGCCACCATATAAGCCTTCATCACCGAAATGATCATCTCCTAAATGGGACCAGCCCTTGTGATGGTGTTCATAATGTTTCTCCACTTTGATTCTGTCGTCAAGATGAAAGACATTAGTTGGTGTATTGAAACTGGACTCACTGTTTGTACTTACGGAATGTGAACTGGTACTTTTACTGGAACATGGACTGGCACAGGAACGTGAACGGGAACATGAATTGGAACGTGTTTGGTTACTGGATATGGAATGTGTTTCACTATTGGAAATGACAAAAAAGATCAACAGTTATTGAGATAATCTTTCAACCTTTCAACCTACCAATTGGTATGTAAACTGGATGACGAACTGGAACTGGAACTGGCATTGGAACAGGCACAGGATGTGCTTGTGGTGGTGGATGTCCACCTCCTCCACCAATGATTATGTGTCCACCGCCTTTGCCTCCTTGAACTGAATGGATGGCAAAAACTAAACCAAAAACAAGAGTCAACTGGATTGTATTCATTTTAATGTTTCGTATACACAATATATCACACAATATAAATCTAAATGATTCTTGATTAACTAAAACTCATCTGATTAAAAAGATTGATTGGAAAATGCTTTTATACCTTTTGATATGCAAAGTTTCCTTGGAGGTTATGGTTAACTGATTTGACCAGCCTTTACTTTCACTGAAAGTCTGTAATAATTGGAAATGATTCCTGGAGAATCAATTGAAATTAAATTAAAATAATTGAATCGATTAAAGGATAATTTCACCAAACCCAGGAATGAAGAAGGAAAAAGGAGATCGTTGAAACCATCAGGAATCTGATTAATTAAAGCGGACTGCGTGTCTTTTCAATCCACTGATTTGCTTGAATGATGTTCCATCCGTTACTGATGATATAAATATAAACCTTAAATATAAATGCATTACTTGTATATCAATAAGTAATTAATAATATCATTTATCTTGTCACCTCTAAAATAATGAAAAACCTCAACCGCACTATAAAATTGTTTACTTCCCTGACTTTCATTTTCAATTTAATATACATCTTTGATTATAAGTTACAATTGGTGTAATTTAAGCTTTTCTGATAAAAAAAATCATTAAGTTGTTTCAAATAATTTGATCAAAGTCACAATTGATTTAGTATACAATTGCCATCATAAATAGCAAGATTAAAGGTTATCGAAGTTGTCATCGTTTATGAAATGACCAATAGAGACTAATAACAAGTAATGCTAGTCCAAAGGTAGATGATTCAAGTGAAGACAATTTGTATATCAAGATCTAAATCAAGAATCGCTGAATGCAGTCATTTGTTGGTAAGCCTAGAGAAGCATCTGACTTTATTAGGTTGTCATTACGTTTCAATAACATCGATATTCAATGTGACTTTGGCTCAAAATTTTTCTGGTAACGTTTTCATGGAAATAAATCAGCTAAACCAAAATGCTGATAAACTCTACCTTCTTTAGCAAAGTGAGCAAAAAATGTGCATAAATCTCAACCCAATGTTATTGGGAAAAGAAGTGAGTGATATCGACAGCTAAAGAGTTATTTTCATTTGTCTCTTCATTTTTGTGATCCAGTCAAAGATTTGAAGTTAAAATGTAAAAATAATCTATTGGGTCATGTATGGATCTCAGATCTTTTTGAAAACAAAAACAACTCATTGGTGATTAAACTGTAAGAATCTGCCCCAAATAACCAAACAAAGTAAACAGAAAGGGTTTCTTTACAGATTTCTTTATTTTCCTGTGGTTATTCTTTCACCAATTTTTCTGGATCAGTCGAGCAACAAGCAACTGTTCATATTCTTACTCTTCATCTAGAAATTTTTGTCACGAAAATTGAATAAAAGTGGTTATTCGAGGGTAAAACTTAGACTTCATGAGATCAGATTTACAGTTTTGAACACAAACTAAATTTGTTATTTTAAAGCCTTGGCAGACTGTCGAAAATGGCTTCACTCTTATTGATTCCTTTAGTATGCTGAACAAACTTTCATATTTCATCCATCAATCGCTTCAATGCACGCAAGAATCAGGGATTTAATCAATTGATGAAAAATAACTTCTTAAGCAAAAATGGTGACTTAAACACTCAGCAGATGGCGCAGTAAAAGCTGATTAAAAATTGAATGTCGATTGAAGCAAAACAATTCAACAAGTAAATTTAGCTTTGTGATTTTGATTTTGATAGTTCAACAATTTAGAATTACCACTGAAAGATTTATAAGAAATTTCCCAGAAAATAAATTAGTTGCAAATGATCCAGATAAGTTGGCATAAGTTGGCAGCTTGTGTAATATTTTTGTACAAAATCTTGTTATTAATCTTGGTAATACTTATGTGATTATATTACAACAAAAGGATGTGTTTCCAAATCCCATAATTCACTCAACTGATTATCAACTGATTAAAATAAGAATCATTTTCTCTTCTAAAGAAAAACATCAAAGAACAATGAATTATCGAACCTGAACAATGGCTTATTGAAGTAGACAATGAGTTATACTGATTAGATTGAACACAGATTAATAAAATAAAAACAAGAAGACAGAATGAAGCTTAAAGTAGAGAAATTATTAAGTTTGATCAACACCAGAATCACAATTATTTTACTAATAGAATCGTAAAATTAACCTTTTCTACCATGAAAGTTATTCTTGCCTTAGCAATATGCCTAATCGGTGTCTCCGAAGCTTTATTAGGTGGATGGAGAGACGTTGATGTCGACAACCAGACAGTTCACCTTCTTTCCCAAATGGCCATTAACCATCGAAACAGCGACGAAGACACTCTTTACTACCGAAAATTGGTCAACGTTGAATCAGCTCGAATGCAAGTTGTAAGTGGCTTGAAATACGAGGTTACTTTAGTCATTGGGGAAACACATTGCGCCAAAGAGGATGAAGCAGCCATGTTATGCCAAGTAGAGCCAAATGTAAGTATTAGATAACATTTGATATGAGTTTGAAAAAGATTCCCCAGAATCTCATGTTACATGAGATGAATGAGCTTATCCAAGTCAAATGATACATTGAATAACATTAACCTTATAACAAAATTTTCAGAGTCTTCGAGAGAAGTGCGTTTACACTTTCTGGTTGGAGGCAAAGACCCAAAATACAAACATAGTTACCAGTTCATGTAGTCAACTCTGAGTTACCTCAAAGATTTCAAATTGTTGGAGGATAACATGAAAAGTCTTATCCATAAATAACTCTCAAAGGATGCCAATATAATCTGTATCAAGACTAAACATAATGCTGACTTGGTTAAACTTGAATAAAATATAAATAAAACCTAAAATAAAGTGTTAACACTTCAATCTAAACCGTTTCAATCTTATTGCAAAGATCATTTGAAAACGTTTCACATTAAATTGCTGGCATTTCAACAATTAAAGTACAATAATTGAATAAAATTGGCTATCATGATGAAATGCCAACAACATCAAATTAAACAACCTATTTGAACTTGAAACTAAAAACGGGAAAAAACAATGAAATCTAAAAATGTATCCATTGAGAGGCAAAGATTGATCAAAACCATGGGAAAGAGTGTTAATCGTAACACCCAATATGATGTCAATAGTTAGACTTTAAACCATCGAATCAAGATTGAATATTGACGTAAAATTCAAGACAATGGAGTATCGAAGAGGAACAAATGTCTATTAATAGAAGACAATGTAAAGTACAATAAACTGTAAAAAAATGTGTCGGTTAGAAACAATAAGTCAAACAAAATGTGAAATTAAAACAGATTTAATCAAAACCGGAGAAAGGTTGAATGAATCAAACCTGCTATTGTTTAACGATTCCCAGTTAATATCATGAGTTATCAGGTGATATGATAACATAATTTAGCTCAAATAGATTGGAAAGAAACATGAAAAATCATCTTTTTGTTCAACATTCAGTGATAACCATGATAGCAACAATGAAACCTTTATTTAGCAAAAATTGAGTAAAAATAATTTTTCGTTTTGTAATCAAACATTGAAATAGCGATTGTAATGTTTCATTAGGAATGTAATATTAACATAATAATTTGAAAATAGACAACGGAAGAGTTGATCATTAATTCATTAATTGCATATTTAGATGTTGTAATAAAATTGTGTTTACTTTGCCGATTTAAAAATAGACTTGATTGCAGTTTATTATAGCCTCATGTTGAGTCTTGTTACGTAGACATTTTGATGAATCAATAGATTGAGTTCATTTGTTCAGTGGTTTGAGAAACTGGAAAGTTGATTAAAAAGCAACACTAATTAATATGGATCTTGGATTGACGTCTAAAGGGACTGTACAGTGATTAGAGTAACTTGAAGAGCTCCGCTTTGGAGCAAGTTTAACTTGCTTCAATTGCATCAATAGCCAAACCAGGATGGTGAAGGGCAATGTTTTGGTTCCTCTTCAACTTTCAAGTATTTTTCAATGAATGAATGTGATGATAATGATTATGATGGTGAAGAACTGCCCAGTTTATTGCTTAAACTAAAAGTACATGTACTTCAAGGTATAAACTTCATCAAGTGAACACGAGTTTGACTTACAATCAACTTCAAATCATTTCCTTGTCTCATTCAATCTTGTTTCAATCTTGTAATGGTTCATGGTGAAAATGTAAACCCATTTTCAACGCAATGTTTCGAGTTTAAATTATTGAAATGATAAAAAATAGTCAATTTTGGTTTCTTTTTTTTCACGCCTAAACTTCAAATGCAATTTCAACTTGAATTTCTTGATTTTTACACTTTTCATAGGAAACTTTTAGCTTTATTTTTTATCAACTTATTTCTTGTTGCTTTTTTTATGGTGGTTAAAGTGCTCATTTGGTGTCATTAATATTTATATATTAATACAATGATTTGTCTGTCTTCTCGGTGGGTACAAAAAAAGTGCAAGTAATTGGTTAGGAAAAAAAGAGAGAAAAATATTTAAATATAAAAATTTAAACTTGGGTTGACGTTTATGTGATAAATAATTGAATTATTATAATATTTATATAATTGATTTATCAATTAGCAGTGATTATGTGATAATAATTATAATATTAGAATGTTAATTGGTGAGAGGAAAATATTGTGATACAATTGTTTCAACGGCGGTTGGCTCGGTGAAACTAAGGATGTAGGAGGGAAAAAGATGTTGATGTTGTTGGTGAAGATGGTGGTGGTGGTGATGGAAGAGGAAGTGATTGAAGAAATGAAGTTGATTGTGGTTATACTTTGGCACATTAAATAATAGTTATAACAATGATGGCGATGATTAAATGGCGAGAGATGAAATGATGATGGTTACGGGCTGAGAAGCTATTCAAGGCATTGGGTTCATCTTTTTTGTTTCATGGCAGATTTGAAAGTTGATTGAATCAAATGGAAACTAAATGGAAGTGGATTGACGAAAGATCATTTGAAATGTAAGAAGCTGGGGAAAGTGTAAAAGTAAACCTCTAATCTGATGATTTAAAGTAAATTAATACAATTAAGTGAAGAGGCAAACAACTATAAAGTTGAATTGGAGAGAGAAAGAAAAAAAATCAAATAAAATGAGCTGGTTAAGAAGGAGGTTTCGCATTTCTTTCAATCAACTTTGTTGTTAAAGTTGTTAATATTAATGCTGATGTTTATGTTGATGTTGGCGATGATAATTGTAATTGAATGATGAATTGTGCACTTTTCAGTTGCTTGATGTTCATGTCAATAGTGTCCATGATAATGATGTAAATGATTTCTGTAATCATGCGATTTCATTTTCTTCTTTTTCTTTCCTTTGCTTTTGAGATCGCTTTTCAATCTTGATTTCCAACTTTGTTATCTTTTCGCTTTGTTAAAATTCCTTTATAACGTTGATTAAATTTTCCAATCCAAATAAATAACCATCCTCGTGGTTACCCTGAACCCAAGGGGAAACATGGTCAATGGTAATACCTTCAGGCAAGGGGACAGTTTTAGCAAAGTCAATCATCCAAATGCCCACTTTACAGGAATCATAGACCATCAGTAAACTGCTACCAACAACTTCATGGGATTGAAAGAAGGATGAACACTTGAAAGATGATTGAATCAGATTCAAACGGTCCAAAATTTTGTTGAACTGATCGCGATCAGCCGGCAGAAATTGTCTCAAAACTTCTTTTACTTGTTCTCTCGTCTTTACAAATGATAAATCTTTGGCTTTGGTTCGGTGAAGATTCGTCTGCTTGAAAAGTAATAAAACAGGAAAAAAAGATAAGAAAAAAAAATAATTAATATCAAGTCATCTGATTACATTAAATCTGTTTTTTTTATTCTCATAACAAATAAAATCCGTTTACTCTCTTAGTCAACCCATTATCAGTTCTGACCGTGATTCATATCAGTTGAACTGAATGACTAAAACTAGCATTTCTTCCCGGTGAGTCAAAAGCAAAGGAAAACTAAAAATTGGTTTAAAAAGGAGTAATAAAAGGATTCCAAATATTGATTGGGAATCGTTAAACTGAAGGCATTACGGTTAATAAGTGGTGAACTGGTGATAAGTAGATTTCAAGTTGATTCAGTTATACAACAATCAATCCTTTCTGTGCCTTTCAAACTCATCTTTCAACTGAAAATGGATGGAATCTATTGATTAGATGAATAACTGATCTTAAAAAAAAGGGGAACACTGTTTTTCCATTTGAGCTGCTTTTTTCAAGGGTTTCAAACTTCATCTCTCTTTATCCGATAATCATCTGAAATAATCACCACATTAACCAGAATCTTGTTGCGCTTCATCTTTCAGTCAATAATTTAATCTTCAACTGAATGATATAAAAAAAAGTATAGTAAATTAATAGTTGCAATAGTGATAGTCATGGTAATGAAAATAATCGTGCTTGTAACTTGATGATCAATAATAAAAAAAATCTGGAGGGAGAACAGTTGAGGGCTAATTAATGTGACAAGAGTCATTCATTGAAATTAACACAATCATTTGATTATGTTTGACGGTAATAATGATGGTAAGGCAGTTGAAAAGGTTAAAAGTTTACATGTAAAAATTTCAATATTTGCAAGTAAAAGTCACACAAACCCAGATAATTTGAATACAAAATGTGTTCAATCAAGGAACTGATTGAGATTAAACCGTCATATCAATGTACTCATAACATACATACACACATTTACACCTTTTGGGTATTTGCTTACGCTAAAGTAAACAAAGTCTCATGAATCTTTAAAATTACTACGGATAAGATGAATACAGATCTTCTGATTACTATTTTAATTCAGGTGTTTTCATCACTATCATTATACTGTAAGTTATATGTCTTTAAACATGGGTTTATTGCTGTCTCTCCAATGGATAAATGGTGAAATCGTGAAAGCATAAAAGTTCAAGAATCATAAGTAAACACAACCAAGTCAGACTTTTCTTAATTCTCAGCCTTTTCTTGGTGATTTGTTGTCATTAATGTCAATTCTTTACCAGATTCGTAATATTTTGCGAGTCATAAGTAAAATGTGGTTGATGAGTAGGGTTTCAAAATGAAAAACAATAATCTCATGAGCATTAATGTGAAAACGGTTAAAAAACTGAATCACCGGAATGTTCAAACATGTGGCTTTATTTTAATGCATGATTCATTAAAATGAAATAATGATTTCAATTACTTAATTACAATTTAATAAGTACCTTTTTAAAAGAGCTTGCAAGTTCTATGTAAATTTAAGCATGGATAGAAAAAATTTCATTTACACTTAAGAGCCGAAAATGTTATGATAATTTGTCACAATATAAGGTCCTCTAAAAAAGGAGAAAATTCAGTTTCTCTGAAATTATTTTTTATCTACTTCTTTGAATAGTTCCTTCTTTTCCTTCAAAACACACCATCTAAAAGTAAACATTAGCCATTTCAATGAATGAATGTTGTATAATTGATTATCAGTTTCTGTCATGGGTTGACTTTTTATATATCCCTGACATAACCATAATAGCCTAGTTTTGTTATTCTCACAGTTTACACAAACATGGTTGACTTGCTCACCTTGAATGCTTCAATACGAAATCCTAAAGTTGAGGAGGAACTCAATTGCTCCCGGAGTTGCATATATTTCAATTTGGTTATCGCCTTGACTTGTTTCTCTGCTTCAGATAAGGCACTAGGATCCAGTTTGATCATTTTCTCATACAGATCTGCTCTTGGTTCACCATTTGAAACTTCGTCCTCCAGAAAAGTCCTTGATCCCATTTTGATATCCATAATGTAGGGATTGTCAAAATGGTATAATAGATTGTCAATGGCAATGCAACATGATCCGTTAACGGTTAGGCAGCCGTAAAAATTAGGTACAAAAGGTTTCATAGTTGCTTCTTCCATTAGTGATTTGTAGGCAAGAGCTTCGTTGCCATCAGATTTACATTTTTTATACAAGATTCCTGGACTACCAAATGCAAAGGTATTCTCGTGACCAGATAATTGAATCCAATTTGTTTTCCTCGTTTTATTGAAGCTATTAATGTTATTATTATTGTTGTTGTTAATGTTATTAGTGTCAGTGTTGATGATCATAAGAGTGTTATCAGACGAGAGATTAGATTTGTTTGGCGACAGAGGATTAACTGATTCAGAAATATCGTTTGATACAAAATTATTTCCGTCATCTTGGTTCGTTGGACTAATTAAAATGGTTGGAGCCATGTTTAACCAGCAATCAACTAGTTTATCACTCTTTCCTTTGGTTGAAGGCGCTATACTTGTATCAAGTTGATAAGGAAAAACCGCTGTTTTGTCTTTCTGGTGAGGATGTTCATTTGGTGTTGAATGGTGAAACAGTTTCATGTTGTCCGTTGAACAATGGGTTTTAAAAAAAGATGAAATAGAGATCAATCCAAGTTAATGTGAAGGCGAATGTTAGATGCACAAGTGAAACACAGTTACACAGATACACTTGAAATAAATAGGTAGATGCACTGAAGAAATGTTGAATATTTGGCACACATTCATTGAATCAACAGACTGATTCAATGAGGTAATGATAGTGTTAATGAAATAAATAGTGTATTGTCCACTGGTTTATAATGAATGTAAGGAGAGTTCAAGTAATCAATAATCTATACAAGTTAAACATTCAGTTGCAATAAAATGGAAATGTAAACCAGGAAAAAATATTTAGTGTTGACATTATACTTTGATTTGCAAGTTGAAGCAGCATCGAGTAAAAAAATCATTGAACCAGGAAAGTAGCATGGATTAGAGGAAGAGTGAGCAACTGAAAAGAGAGATAGAGGGAGAAAAAGATAGGTAAATATTTCATGGAAATGAGAAAAAATAAGTCATATTGGAAGTAAATGAAGAATTGTGTCCAAGTTTTCTTACTTAAGCAACTTATTCATCCAGGATTGAAACTCTTCGAGTGAAATATATTGGTGATGAAGATGATGTTGGTGATGGCGATGGTAACCTATCGTCAGTCAATAGCTTGAAAATCAAGATTGAAGAAGAGAGGATTGAGGACAGGAAGGGAGGGAGGGAGAACTGAAAAGAGCAGAAAAAATTATAGAGAGGAGTATCTCGTGTCGATTAGAACAGCCCATTCAATAGACGTCAGATGGTTATGTAATTAAACCAGTCAAAGAATGAAATAATAATGTTGATGAAACAGAATTACAAAAATCAGAAGAGAATAGGAATAAAAATAATTCAATGATGCTTGTTGATAGTAGAGACCAACAACAAAACAAAAATAGTAAAAAAAGTCAATAAATATTAAAGGTTGAACGATGTAATATGTTGATGAGATATTGTTAAGCCATCGAAAATATTTGAACAGATATAAAAATTAATGAAGATTATCTGTTCCTGATCAACAATCAAGATAAAAGATACAATGATTATTGAGTTGAGAAAAGAATCACAATTTTCTTTTTAATAACATTTACGTCCTGTTTAGTCATCCCTAGATGGTGTTGTTGAGCATATATTTGAAAGTAAAGGCGCCAAAAATGTTGGTTAACTTGAGTTTAATGTGACAATTCTTAATGTTGAATGATTTACTTTTTGAGTAAATAAATCAAGTCACTTATTTACATTCAATTGTGTTTGATTGTTTTTCGATTTTTTCTGCTCTCTTCTAATCCTTCTGCTGATTTAGCTTTATGTTTAGCAAAACATTTCTCGAATCCTTCCCAATCAACTTTTAAATTTCTATTACGAGCCATCCTGTTTATCATGAAAATAGAAGCACCGCCATTCAGGAAAAGATCAAAAACGGCATCACCAGAAATACAATCTTGTTTGATACGATCTAATTGATTTGCTATTTTATTAAATAGCTTGGTAGCCTTTTCAATGATATCAGTAGCCAATATACTTTCTTGAGCGATGACGCTAAGATTCCGGTCCATTTTTAAATTGATTTCTGGATAAACATCTCCTAGATTATTTCCTACTTTTTTAGAAAGTTCAATTAAAACCTTCTCTGGCTCTTTGTATCCAAAATCAAATATCAGATGAGCAAATGTTTTACGAAATATTTGTCGAAAATGCCGTCCAGTGTCTTTCGTTCCAGGCTTCAAGTCATCAGAAAGAGATATTGTAATCATTCTAGAATGGTCAGCTACTACTCTGTAGGCTATGTCTAAGTTATCTTTTAGAGATCCTTGATAAGGCCGAGATTTGGTCATCTAATGTGTTCAAAAATTCAACAGTTAATAATCGTACACAAAATCCGACAATTCATGCAACACACCGTTGAAATTGTTGTGAGTAGAGGCTGAAAAAGATCTGTGTCATAACTAGAAGGGACATTGTTTAAAATCGATGCCATTCGTTCCAAACCCATCCCAGTATCTACATGATTTGCTGGTAACTTTGTTACAATCCCGGATTCATCTCTGGAAACAAACAAAATCATTTATTTAGTAACTTTCCAAGATTCTTTGGATGATTGACTTACTTGTAATATTGTATGAAAACAATGTTCCAAATCTCAACACATTTTTCAAGAGAAAATGTAGATGGATCAAGCTGAAAATAGATCTCGGAACAAACCCCACAAGGTCCAGATTCACCCATTTCCCAAAAATTTTCATTCGTCGGTAAAATACGATTCTGTGGAAAACTATACAAACGTATTAAGGTTTAAACTGCCATATTGATCGAGCCCTTACCCAAGTGACAACCAAATTTCTTTCGTTTCTTCATCAGCGGGCAATGATAGTGTCTTGTCACCAGCAAAATATGTTATAATAAGTTTGTCTAAAGGCAACTTATAAACTTTGGTAATCAATTCGAAAGCCATAGTGCAAGCTTCTTTCTGCAAGAAAACATAAAATTAGAATGAAAAAAACCACATTGCTATCAACATAACTTAAAAACTTGGCTCGCTAAATAATGTTACATAATTTACACTAAATATTTGAACCACAAGATTGTACAGTGATTGATTAATGTTTTACCTTAAAATAACTATTGAAAGACCAATTTCCAAGCATTTCAAAGAAAGTATGGTGCGTCAAATCGTAGCCTACAACATCTAAATCATTGTGTTTACCTCCAGTGCGAATACATTTTTGACTAGAAACAGCACGTCTAAGTTCATAGTATGGATGATTAGGTGAGATGTTACCGATAAAAATGTCTTTGAATTGGTTCATTCCGGCATTATTGAATAATAATGAAGGGTCAGATGAAATCACAGAGCTACTGGGTACCAGTTTATGCTGGTGATTTTTAACAAAAAAATCTATAAAACATTTACGAATAGATGAAGAGGTCCATTTGTAGGAAATACTCATATTTGCTGATCAAAAATAAACCAAAAAACTTAAGTTGGAGTCCAACAGTTGGACGAAAACAAAAATTGTAAACAATAATGCAATGACAATATCGATAGTTTTGAAAACAATATATCGATAGCTTTAAAGAGTTATCGAGAATACATAAAGTAACCAGTTACTTGGTTACATATTTACGCGGTGACTTTACAAACTGTAAATCACCGAGATTTGAGAATCGAAAACGAAAATTTCTATTGTTCTTCATTCATTGAAGAAATAACTCACAAATTTACGTGTCTGAATTTCTCTGAATAGGCTTACCATGAAGAAACCGTTTAGAGCATTCAAGTAACTGGTTACTATTAATAATAACCAACCCGTCTTTAAAGCTCCAACTTCATGAACTGTTAACTCCACCTGGTTGTTAATAATCAAGTAGCTTTTGTTTACACTTCAAGTTGCGTTAATGCTACATTTGGACAATATTTGGACAACAAAACTTGTATAACACTGAAATGCTTAATCGCTGATTTGGTTTACTCGTTTTTTCTGAATGAGCTTACTTCTTGAACAGTTTCTTTTATATTCTTTGTGTCCATAATTCCTTTACTCCTATTCAGCCCAGTTTTGGTTATTTTGTGAGTGGATATCATTTCAAACAAAGCCTTATGATCAAAGCGAAATCCCGATAACTGATTTTATCCTGTTGAAGTTTCAGTCTTTTTACTTGTTTTACCATCCAATTTTTTAATCATTCACTCAGGTAAGAATACACTCCATTCACATATTTTCATTACAAATGAATAGCTGTTGTGGTTTATTAATTGATTGACTGTCATCTAAGCTTGTTTACATTTCTTATGTGCCTTCTTATTTATCTTCTTATGGCCCAAAATGTACCTTAAACCTGATTAATCTGAAAAAATCAGCTCTTGAAAAATCATCTTTTCGTTATTTTGTATCAAGTTTCCTTATTCGTATGATATCCTGAATCAAAACTGCAAAAGTCGATCTCTTATTTCTCAAAAGTTTGATTGGCAATTTAATATCAAGAAAAATCACTCAAAAATGTCCAGAAAATGAAATTTTACATTCTTCTTCTCAAAAGATCTTACTTGGCTAATACCATTTCCATTGACCAATACCATTGACCTTGCATGAGCGTGAAAAATTCATATGGAACTCTGATGTAATACAAGGATTAGATTAAATTGAAAGAGGAGGAACATATTAGATACTAGTTATCAATCTGCCTCTCAGCATTTCTGTCTTCTTTGTTAAGACAGAGAGTTTTATTTGAGCTTCTCTCATCATCTCTCTCTTTCAGTTTTCCTATTTATTTAATGCTTCTATTTGATTTTGTCCATTAATCACATAATCCTGACTATTTTCATATCCAGGCAACTTTGGAAAGGAACTAATACTCGTTTAATACGAAGCCAACCATAATTCTCTTACAACAACCATGAAGATGTTATTTGCTGTGGTCACTTTACTTACTTTTTTCTCATTGAAGGTTAGTATTTTAAAAAACTGAACGTTTTCTTTGTCTTCACTTACTAATGAAATCTTTTTCTTCCAAATAGGTTGATGGTCAACAAGCGGACAAGGTATCCTTAGGAGTCTATTATGAAACATTGTGTCCAGATTCAATCGCTTTCATAACCTATCAATTATACCCAACCATCCAATCTCTCGGACTCGAGAAAATTAACGTTGATCTTGTTCCTTTCGGCAAAGCATCCGTAAGTTAAATCATGATTGCTGTAAATTGGTAACTTTCCCTTGAAATGGTTTTGATGTAGACGTGCTGATTTTCATGCTAAGTTGAAATTTAATCTCCACTCATTACGTTTTCAATCGCTGTTGCCAACTCTATCTGTGATGACTTTGCTGATTCTCTATTGACTTACAATAGCCTGTTAAAGTGTTGAAAGAAATCTTACTTTCGTTTCTGATGCAATGACAATCAGTGTTTAAAAACAAACTCGTCACGGTTGTTCAAATAAGTGTTTGACTTCACCTTCATATCATAATCATCTAATCAACAATGGACAGTAAACAATGACAGTAGTGTCATGTTTATTGTAATAGTTCTTTGTTTCCAAGTAAATAGTGTCATTTGATAAACTTAACTTTATTATATGACATTATTTGCTTAGTTTTTATCAAGAAATTATGAAAGCTGTTTGATAATTGAATTCATTTCATCCTCACACATAATCAAGGTTTCATGAAGCTTTTAAATGTGTCAAGATGGTTAAGATGAGACACCATTGCTCACAGAAGCGGACAGTTTACATTTCTGTCAAAATCCAGTCCGATTTGCTCTGATTTCTCATCAAATGAATTATCCCTTTTCTAATTGATTAACCAATGCTTTTCAATTTTTCTTGATTAGACTCCTTCATTAGACTTATGAGAAACGATGAAAACTTTCACTTCACACTTACGCCTTCTCTCACCATTTCTATAGACAACAGGAAACAATTAACCTAATTGAGGATTAATCTCACCAAATGACCTAAAAAGCCTTGACCATTCTTTGTTTTGAACACCTATTTGTTGAACACTCAGTTCACACTCATCATTATTACCTATCATCCTTTTGATAGCGTTAATTCACATGATTTGTCACTTCTAATTTTCAGTTTAGTAATCTAGTAAATTCTGGGTTCATCAATTTTAATGTTCTCAGAGTTTTCAGTGCTTGTGTCCGCTTTGAAAATCACGTTTTACGAAGAGTTAATTATTGATAGATTCATGGTACGAATGGGAAGTTTTATCATCAGACAATAAACCACCTCATTGAACAAAAGACCGAAATAATATCTTGGTTCACTTGGTTTGTAGTCAAATGACTCCAGTTATTGATTATCGATACAGTTTGAATTAGTTTGATTAAATTTTCTCCATCGTCTGTTACATTTTGACCTATTCCTCGATACATCAACAAACCACTTGACCCATAAAAATAATTAGCAAGTCTATTCGAATAGACTTATCAAGCGAAACTCTATCGATATCTTTGTTTTCAGTAACATCTTTAACATTTCTTAATGTTTTACAATTGACAAGCTTAGAGTACTCGATATCCATTCATTTATATCGACTTCCATAATCTCAACACTAGGTCAAGTATCAATCAACATGCTTATGTAATCATCCGTTTTGTCATTCAATCATTTCATTATCATGAGCTAATCATCTTACAATAATAGTCATGAATATATTTGGTTAAGCTTCAAAATTTTGATAATTTATTACAGTAATAACCATGTTTAGTTCTATGATCGTTCCTTTAATTTAAACCAACATGTTAACCTTCAATTTTGATGCTATAAGCCGTTAGTTTACCTTGAAAGGGATTGAAATTTAAATTGAACAATTATTATTTCAATTCAACTGCAAGGCTGAATTACCTCGATTCCCAAGTTCAGTTTTCAAGCTTAATATTGCAACAGTAATTTATTTTCCAAAGACAGTCATATTGATCAAACTGAGATTTATTGATTCTGTAAATAGAATCAATATGTGTTTACTCATAAATTTTACAGTTATATTTATATATTAACTTGAAGCTCATGAAATCGATTTTTTGATTTTGCTTATTCTTTACTAATTATTTCTCTTTTTCTTCTTTCCAGTGGACTGAAAGTGGATCTACAATCTCATTCAGCTGTCAACATGGCGAAAGGGAATGTAAAGGAAACAAAATCCAAGCCTGTGCCAAATCTGAACTTGATACTTCTGCTTTAATCAAATTCGTTAACTGCATGGAGAGTGCAAGTTCACCTGATCGAGCTGGCAAATCTGTACGTAATTCATCTTCATTCAAATTACAAGAAACTTGATTAACACATAATTTCTTCTTTACTTTACAGTGTGCCCAAAAACAAGGCTTAAACTACACCACCATTGAAAACTGTGCCAATGGAGCGAAAGGATCGCAACTACTCAAGGAGCAAGGAGTTGCTACCAAATCTTTGGTCCCAAAACCCAATTTCATCCCATGGATCACTGTTAACAATGTAATTTACCTCTCAGCAAATTCAAAATCAAAAATCCGAATATCTAACTAATCTATTTTGTATTTACTCTTATTATTGTAGCAACACACCAGTGATATACAAAACCGAGCTCTCGACGATCTTAAAGGCCTTTTATGTGATTCTTTCCCTGTAAGCTGTCATAACTTCCTGTCAGCTCTTTAAGATATTTAAACTAATTCTTTTCTCAATTCATTACAGCAAGGAGCAACTAAACCAAGTGGATGCAAATAGAAGTACAAACTAAATTCTGGAATCCTACCGCTGATTATACTAAATACAAATAAATACTTATAAGAAATAATTTGTTCTACCAGATTGCTTATGTTAAATCTGCTCTTTTTTATAGCCTAATGCTTGAAATCGACGAATTGTCATAATAAAATGCAATTGTGATCATGAAAAAAATACTTTCCATCTTTGATAATGTGAATCCAGATCGTATTAGTGAAAGCATTGTGCACGCATCTGCAATTTGATTGAATATTGTTATTAAGATTATTTCCTACATTTTAGATCAATAATACTCTTTTTGAATCGTGGAGATGAATTTTCAAGATCTCTGTTTAACTTGCAGAAAATAAATCACATTCATGTTGATCTTGTGGAAAAGACTGCAAGCTCCTCTTCATGTTTAGTCACAAATCAGTCAATTTAGATTATGCACAGACCTAAGGTGTATTTGAGTTCTCCTGATAATTTGATAAAATTTTTACATCTATTTTAATTGATTGGTTTTTAGAAATAAGTTCGGATTTTATCTGACAAAATATTTCTAAAAAGTTCATTCTTGTAGGCTTGTTTTGAAAAAATTTCAAGATTTGTGATAGTCTTTTAAAATCTGTAATTTTTGATCTTTTTTATCAAACTAAATTTTCTCAATCTTTGTTGGTGAATTGATAATTGGGATTGATATTAAGGCTTAGAATCAAGAATTGAAAATTGTAAAATTTACAGTTCGGTTTTCAGTTGCCATTTACTGTGTTACAGTCTTTCTGAGCGTGAAAACTGGTTGATCAAACTGAATAAAAAGATAGCTGCGATTCTCAAATATTTTTTAAATAAATGATGACAAGTAATAATATTATTTTTATCATGTATTCATTAATAAAATTAGATTTTCATGAAATTGATAGAACAGAGCATAATTTGTAAACGGTCCCCTTCTGTTTGGTGGCATTTACATTTTTTTCCATACTCCTGCCTGGTTTCATTTACTCATTTATCTCATTTCCTAATTGAATTTTTTTGGCTGATTGTTCTTGCCAGTTTTTAACCATCCTACTTATAATCAATTTCCACTTTTAATTACATTGGTAACTTGATTAATCTAATTCTTTAGTAGCAACATGCCGAAAAATAAGGGTAAGTGCTTATAGTTTATTTTTTGCTTCTTGTTACGCTCTTCTGTCAAAAGTGATACTCATGACGATGTTATCTCCTCTGTATTTCATTTCCCATGTTGTTTGCATGCTGTTCAATGTAGTGATGTGAATCTTTAACTTGATTGCGTCATCATTTGATTGATTTTAAAAAAAATAATCTTTTCTTATTCATATTTGATTTCATCTAATACCTTTTTTTTTATTTCATCTCTTTTCGTTTGCTGAATCCAGGAAAGGGAGGAAAAAATCGTCGTCGAGGAAAGAATGAAAATGAGACTGAAAAAAGAGAATTAGTATTCAAGGAGGATGGACAAGGTAAATTTAAATTATTCAGCTTTTATTGCTGCTACCTTCCCTTGGTGGTGTCATTTTATTCTGTTAGCTAATTCAATGTTTTTATCTTTTCATCTTCAGAATATGCTCAAGTTGTTAAAATGCTTGGTAATGGTAGACTTGAGGCGTTTTGTTTTGATGGGGTCAAACGTCTTTGTCATATTCGAGGGAAACTGCGGAAAAAAGTGTGGATTAATCAAGGAGATATCATCTTAGTCGGTCTACGTGATTACCAAGACTCTAAAGCTGATGTTATACTTAAATACAATCACGATGAAGCTCGTAACCTTAAAGCATATGGTGAACTTCCTGAAAATGCTAAAATCAATGAAAATGTATATGGTGAAGAAGAAGAAGATGACAACATTGAATTCGGTGATGTCAGTGACGATGGAAGCAGTGCCAGCGATGCTGAAGAAGCTGCAATTGAAGCTATATGATTCAAAATCCTTTATTAGATCCATCTTAAATAAAGTTTTTCTCTTATTATATTTCTCTTAAGAATCTGAAATTGTAAGGAATAATCAACCAATCATCGACTCTCCATTTTTCTCAAACTTGTTCTAAATCACTCAGTGATCGAACAAACATTTCTACTCAGTTTTCTTGAATCCTTGATAAAATGCTTTGCATTTTCTGTCTTTCTAACTGTGTTTCAGTTTAATTTTCCAACAGTTGACTTATTCCAATTTTTTGTAAATTTCTTTTGTTTAATTTCATAATCACAATTATCCAAGAGATGAAATGCTTCAAGTTGATGTCAACTGAGCAAATGTTATGACAAAAGAGCAATACGGAACAAGAAATTGTGTAAATGAAATAAAAGGATAGCATAAAAGAATGGATTTATAAAAAAAGTAGTGATTTACCATGTAATCTTTTCTGAGATTCGTATAATGATTATTTTTTTGCATGTAGTTGCCTTTTTATAAAAAGAGATTCAAATTTAGGTAAAAAGAAAACATTGATCGGTTTACAATAGTTTGAATTGCGATTTCAAAGATCAAAACAAAGCTATCAAAACTCAGAAGAGACACAAATTGAAAGTGTCAACTTCATGAGAATTGAATTAACAAGTATATAATAGAGTATAGAGAGCGAAGTATAAAGGAAATAGACAATTAATGATTAATAGTTAAAGACTACTTTGAGTTGTTTTGAAACCAGGTTAATAAAAAAAAGTGTTAACCTGAGGTTCGGTTTATAACAATTTCATCAACGTTAAATGAAAATTGTTGGGCATTTGTCAACAATAATAAGAAACATAAAGTTTACTAATAGAAAAAACCATTAGAAAAAGAAACTTCATGAACTTGGGAACATCTTGTGGATAAAAGAGATTCTAGAACAGATTGAATGCATCATTTTTATCAAAACCATCATCACAAGTAGCAGCTCTGATGAATTCATTCAGCTGATTTGGGTCTTGGAATCCTTTAAGAGTTAAATTACTTGGTAATAGAGGGACATCATCAGATACTGTTCGAGCTCGAGACATAGCCAACCTGAACATGGATATAAAAACATTTTAATGATAAGTTCATTGAAAAATTAAAATTAAATTGAAATGAAATGAAAATAGTTTTACCTAAGGAAACAATCCTTATCAGCATCAAGATCATTAATTTGTCCATTAAGGGTTGGAGTTGAATCACTAAGCAAATCAATCATGGGTGCTCCATTTGTCTGACAATTTTCATTGGATGCCTGATCAGTTGATTTACCATTTGATTTGGTATCTTTACTGTCGTTACTTGGTTTAGTTTGATTCTTCTCTTTCAATGTTTCTTGGTATTTTTCAAAAGCAATGGCAAAAGCTTGAGAGATTGTTAATGCTAAATATGATTAAGAAAAGAGAATGGTAAAAGATTAACAAAGGAAACAATCAAATAATTGATCAATGAATCAATGGTGTAAAAGATGGGTAACGATACTGGAAAATATCAAATGCACTAAACACTAAACAGGAAGTACATTAATCGTACAATAATCACATAACAGATTTTGAATGTATAAGGAAGTAAAATTCAAGAATTAAAAATGAAGAAAATTACCACAGGCACGAGCTACTTCATTTTTTCTGGTAAGGAAAGCATGGCATTCGTGAGTTTCATTCTTATTTGTAGCGATAAAGGCGACAACCCGGTCATAGTTGGCGTCAGCTGAGCAATATGAGATTCTAATAAAACAAAAGAATAGGACAGAAAATTTGAATTCGGTGAATTGGACAAAAATAGGAAGAACAGCCATTAAATACCTGTAAATAGAGATATCGAAAATTTCTTCATCATTGTGAGCATCTTTACAACTTATTCCAGTAGGTTTTATGGTGAGGACAACCTTGCGCAAATTTTTAACTTTACCAGCCAGTTTGGACTGAAAACAGAGAGATTGAGAAAGAAAACATTCCAGATTAACATGATTTAAAATTGAAAGTGATAAATGTTGAGTAAAAAAGCGACACAAACACATTGCTTGTCGATGATAAAATTGAAACTCACCATTTGAATAATTGTTTTAATTGCCTCTGCTGTGGTTGCATCATCTGAAGCTTTTTCAACCAAAGTTGATCCAATATATTTACAGTGAAAGGGCAACCCTTCGTTGACCGGATGTTTAATATCTTCACCCCATTCTTCGGGCAACTCTGTAATTTAACCAACACATTGTTACTAAAAAGTCAAACTCACTGTCAACGGTTACTTTGAAAGGAAATATCGTAACTTGATGTAGATACAAAGATGAGCTTACTTTTATGCTTAGATTTCCCAAAAGTGAAGGCCTTTAGTATTGCTGACATGATGGATAAAGATGGTAATGAACTTTGATCAACTAACTGGATGAAAAAAAGGCTTCTTCAAGAAACAAGAATAATTTAAACATTTTACAAGCTTAATCTCAATCATTTTTATATTACAGCTTACAATTTTTAATGTTGTCAACTGCGCCATCTAGACATTGACATTTAAATTGAAATTGAGCAAATGAACCAATAAAAGCAAACTAATTGTCCTTCATTATTGATTGACTTATCTAATGAAGGATTCAATAAATTCAAAAAATCGTTTCAATCTTTAAAGATTAATCAATAACGCAGAGCTTAAAAAGAGTTTTTTCGTTAAAGATTGTTCAAATAATTCAATTCAAGCAGCTTCCATGATCATAGAGTAAAATCCTTAGATCAATCATTTGAATACAACCAGACAATTTGCTGATCAACAACTAAAGTAAGATGCTAAATTGACAGTAAAGACTTTTTACTAAACCATAGATGTTAGGAGAAAAGACTAGAATAAATTTTAAAGTAAAAGGATTTTGAGTAAATATTACCACAAATTAAAGAGTTAAATTAAAGTCAATCACAACAGTTTATTGGCCATTTTGAAGTAAATATTAACGTACAGATGGCAATAGCAGCACCATTGAGGTTAAAAACAAAATCTGTTCAAATGTAAGGACAAGTGATAAACAATTTGAAGGGAAAAGAGTTTACTGAAGTTTTGGTGCTTTTATTGTTTCTCCTGAGATAAATGAATAGAACAAAATTAACAGAAATCTTTCTATTTTAGAATGATCTTGACATTTCATGAGTCTTGGCAGAAGTATAACTTCCTGTCCGCGTGCTTGTGGATCTTTGTGATCTTTGTGATCTTTTTGATCTTTGTGATCTTTGTGATCTTTGTGGATTAGAGTAGTAGTTGAGTCTTGCAAATAAACCAACCCTTGATTCTGTACCTTTTAGATTCATACTAGTACTAGTAGCTACATAAATGCAGAATATGACGAATACAGCTATGGTAACCGATATAACGGAAAAAATCCAGAAAGTGTGGGTCACCGAGATTGCATCTTTAGTTATTGAGGTAAGACTAACTGAATTTGCATACTTGGAAAAATAAAAAGTTGCATTAACTGGAAAGAAACCAGAAGATGCCAAAACCAAATCACAATGGATCGTTTGATTTTGTATAATTACATTAGGACAATAATTTCCAGGACCAACAGAGATCCAGATTGATTCTTGAGAACCAAATGATGGAAGAGTAGTTGACAGCTCAATTTTCAATGATTTATCTAACGAGGTTATTTCCTTTGGTGTGACTCCAACAATTGTAATGCAGTAGTTGTTTGATAAGCCAATCTCTTGCGTAAAGTCCACAACTCTTTCGCATATATTGTCAACCCATCGACAGCCAATTGAATGTCCAAACATTACACAAGTAATACAATTTGAATAATCTGTACAGTTTTTGTCGAAAAGATAAGTTCCACCTGCGGAGTCGACAACGAATACTTGGGCATCAATGACATTGATATGTGGATACAATTTGAAAGGTTCTTTGTAAGACAAGATGGGTTTACACGTTAAAGATTCCAGGCCATAATCGAGCTCACACGATTTAACTCCATCCTTATTAGAGATGTAAATAATTGTTTTTAAATGAGGATAATCCAAATGTAAAGTGGACAGATAGACATTGCTAGACGGTTCGTTGATAGATACACTCAAGGAACCTACAGAATAGATAGAGCCAGCTGGGAAAACGCCACCATTTTCACATTCATTAATAGTGGTGATACAATCATTTTCATCGAATCGAATATGTTTATAAAATGAATTAAATTTAACTGAAACATTTGCACAATCATAAGTATTTTTCTTAAACAGAAGAGGTAAATTATTAATATAATAAATGGTTAATGTGTTATCCACACCATATGTTATTATGGCATATCTTTTAGATTCATCAACATTGGCGCCCAATTTAAAATGAAAAACTGCATTCATGATTGGATAAGCGGTTATTAATTGCGGGGTTAAAGGTAGTTCAAAGTGAATCTCAATTGGATGAGATAAAAACTGTGAACCTTTTCCTAAGCAAAAACTGATAATAACAAGTTCATGCTTTGTATTTGCTTGTGATGTTTGCGTTGGATTGTTGTTTGGATTGAAAAGAGATCGAGAAATGAGGAGAAACAGTTTATCTTCGAAAAAAATATGATCTTGTAATCTCCATTCCCTTATGGTCATCCAATCTGAACTATTAAACCAAGTAATGTTATGTTTAACACTAACCGATGTTTCATTCTTGTTATCGGAGGAACCCCAATCAAAATGCAACAATTCCACATAGGGCCATGGTTTCCCAGGATTCCCCAAATTTCCATTGAGCACAACTGGTACACGTAGAGCTAGACCATCACCAAGCACAATCCACGAGCCAATAAAATTTCCATTATGTGTTATCCAGCGATGAGCATATTGACCGTCGTTTTCCTGAACTATGATTCCCGGCTTTCCATCCAACGCAAACATTATTTTGTTGTCCTTTATATCGAGAACCTTACATCTAAGCAGCTCATTTTTTGATAGTTTTACTCCATTGAACTTCATTACTTTACCAGCAACATAAACTTGATAATGGTCTTCTTGGTTCATTATTGGGTAAACCTGGGAATGGGTTTTGTAGTAAGCATGCATAAATTGCTTGTGAATTTTGACTTGCGATGAAATATCAATTATTGCCAGAAAAATAAGAAAATGAATCATATTAACAGCCAACAATGTTAATGAGAAGGAAATAAAACATCTAAATTAACAAGGATAATTTAGAGTTAATTTGTATTCTTTAACCTAAAATTGTGTTTACAAATATTAGGTTGTTACTAACAAGACACAACACAGTTATCCCATTTATTCACAAACCGAAACAAATGAACAGAAAACGGGTAAAAACTAATTTCTTTCAAATTACGACTCTGTAGGTTTGTAGGGACGTATAAACTGAGTCCATTTGTGTGATTTGAAGATTTCTCACATTGATAGTTCTCGAGAAAATCGATTTCAAAATTGAAACTTCGATCGCTTTTTGTACAACTACGGAAGCAGATTTTTTCATGAAACTCAAACTACTGAAGTAAATTTTGATAATGAACCAGAAAATGCACTTATTTTGGATAATAAAACTTTTCTTTTTCTGTAAAATAGGTTAGTTCGATTTTTAGTTAAATCGACCGCATTTCATGACCATAATGGTTAGAAAGCTGAAACTCATTATTTTTCGCTAGAAGTAGTTGGTACACATTATGCATTAAATAATTTTCGCAATTTAAAAACAGTTTTCTTGATTTCGACCATTGGCCTGAAAACTTTGAGCCCTAATATTTCGAGAATGACATTTCTTACAATCATTATTCTTTCACCAATTGAATTCTATGCTAATTGCTTATCCAATTCAATTTATTAAGTTTGCATTAGCGCGTTTGGTTTACGAGTTTTGGGTTAATAATGCACAAGAAACAACGTATTCAACAAAAGAAACTCATATTAACACATATCTTGGTAAATAAAACATTTTTCTGGTTAAACTGCAAAATGAAATGCAAAGAGTGATGTAAAAGGCTCGAACATTTGAGCAAAGAATTGAGACTTAGTGGGGGTTGTAGGGACATAAAAACTGTGTCCATTAGTACTATTAAATACTTCATTCGATGGACAGTTTTCTAGATAATCGATGTCAAAGTTGAAACTTCGATCGTCTTTTGTACAGCAATGGAAGCAAATTTTTTCACCAAACTTATTTTACTGATGTATTTTTTGATGACCAACCAGAAAATGCACTTAATTTGAGAAACAGAACTTTTCTTTTGCCGTGAAACAGATTAGTTCGATTTTGATTTAAACCGATCGTATGCTGTGATAATAATATTTAGCGATCTGAAACTCATTATTTGTCACTGAAAATTGTTGCTGCACATTGTGAATAGAATATTTGTTCCAATTTTTCAACAGTTCTCTCGATTTTGGTCCTTTGTGCTGAAAACTTTGAGGCTCGATATTTCGAGAATGGCTTTGCCTGCAGCCGTTATTCCTTCTCCAAACACTAGATTTGATTATAGACTAAAACAGTACAGGATTGAATATTGAATCTCTCAACTCTTTGCTCAAATGTTCGAGCCTTTTACATCACTCTTTTGCATTTCATTTTGCAGTTTAACCAGAAAAATGGTTTAGTTACCAAGATATGTGTTAATATGAGTTTGTTTAGTTGAATAAGTTGTTTCTTGTGCATTATTTACCCAAAATTCACAATTTAAATGCGCTAATGCAAACTTAATAAATTGAATTGGATTAGTAATTAGTAAAGGATTAAATTGGCGAAAGAATGATGATTGCAAGAAATGCCATTCTCGAAATATTAGGGCTCAAAGTTCAGCTACTAATGGTCGATATCAAGCAAACTGTTTTCAAATTGTTAAAAGTATTAGACCCATGATGTAAAGCAGAAATTTTCATTAATAAATAATGAGTTTCAGCTTGCTAACAATTACGGTCACAGGATGCGGGCGTTTTAAATCAAAATCGAACTAAACTGTTTCACGGCAAAAGAAAAGTTCTGTTTCTCAAATTAAGTGCATTTTCTGGTTGGTCATCAAAAAATACATCAGTAAAATATGTTTCGTGGAAAAACCTGCTTCCATTGTTGCACAAAAGGCGACCGAAGTTTCAACTTTGACATCGATTATCTAGAAAACTGTCCATCGAATGAAGTATTTAATAGCACCAATGGACACAGTTTTTATGTCCCTACATACCCCACTAAGTTGCAACTCTTTGCTCAAATGTTCGAGCCTTTTACATCACTCTTTGCATTTCATTTTCAAGTTTAACCAGAAAAATGCTTTATTTACCAAGATATGTGTTAATATGAGTTTCTTTTGTTGAATACGTTGTTTCTTGTGCATTATTAATCCAAAAATCCTAACCCAAACGCGCTAATGCAAACTTAATAAATTGAATTGGATAAGCAATTAGCATAGAATTCAATTGGTGAAAGAATAAAGATTGTAAGAAATGTCATTCTCGAAATATTAGGGCTCAAAGTTTTCAGGCCAATGGACGAAATCAAGA